AATTGTATAATTATTTTGGCATCAGTTATTAAAAAAAAATAATATTATTTATCTGTTTATACTAGGTCATTATTTGAATCACCTAAATAATAATATAGGTAATATACCTAATGTATTTATGAGGTAAATATTTGTGTGCTTATGTTTTTATAATGCATTTAAGATTGGTTATAATAATTATAAAATTGAAGTAGGAACTTGTGGTGTGGGGGCGTAGCCCCCACGGGTTTGTTTCATCTACATAATTTTAGCACCTCCAGTGTTTGGCCTCTAGTGGCGCCTATGCACCCTTGCCATACACTGTATGGCATACAGCATCTCCTGCAAAACCTTATAAGTGGTTCTTAAAAAAATAAAATAAAATATTATCGTTTTCACCATTTTGAACGTAGCCAATTTTTTACCCGCCGCATAGCAGAGAATGCTCTTTCACAAGTAGCACTACTAATAGGAATTGTATAAGCTATGTTCAACAATTTATAAAAGTTTGGAAAAGTGTTAGATGATACAATTTCAGCCATTTCTGTAGGTGTCAACATTTTATTATCGGTAGATAAGAATATTATTATTAATTATGTAGAATTGTAGGAATTCCAAAATAAACTATAGCAATATTATTTTATATTTGTACAATATACTTTTGAATAACTCTCTGCATCATATGACATATACTACTAATATTATTTAGTATGTATCTCACTATTCCATGCTTAAATTATCATTAAATTTTAAATAATCAAAAAAAAAAACCCTAAGTCCCCCCTAGTTGCGCCAATGGCCATATGATCGTATCAGTTGCGTAACATAACGATAGGCGGGTACCTCWGAGTTTCTGATAGATAACATTAGGTATATGGGAATTTATTATTAACTAAAATATTATTTGAGTGATAACTATACTACATGAATAGTTACAAATATGTTGCAGTGGATGCCTTATTGAGTTATTGGTGTTGCAGGCTACTGTATATTAATAAACTAGCCATAGGCGTGCGCAGACTTTTTTGACAGSGTGGGCCAAGCCAATTATGATTTATATACTTAAAGAGATGATATTACTTTAAAATATTGTATCAATTCAATTGTTGAATTTTTCAATGTATTTCAGTTTTATCGCTGAAAATTGTAATTTGTAATTTTATTATTAAAGTTTCATGATAACAATGTTATCAAATCGCAGCATGTAGGTAAACAAGTACAGCGTACGGCGGCCCGGACGGTGGGCCATGGCCGCGTGCTCACTGCGCCTATATAAAACTAGCCTATGAAAAATGTCAAGTTCACCGTGCCACTGAATCAGTGATACTGTACAATATTAATCAGACACATTGCGTGCATATATATTACTGTATATCATACATGCAGTTGCCGGGTRAAATGCATCATTTTCTTTTCTCTTATTCTGTTCTCGTTGCCGACCGACGCAGGAAATCGGGTGATCATCGTCTGTGCCGTACTGGTGAACAAAACGCATCGGGTTTCGGGCAAACACGTCCAGAAGAACTTTATCGTACCACCAGGCGATGCTGACACGACCGTGAGCCCCAACGGCCGCGTGTACGTCAAGTACAACGACTACGATTTCTATCCACTGTACTTTATGTACTATMARCGGACACCGGAACACTTGAATGAAAGCAAATATTTCCGTGGTTACAACCCACAAGGTCAGCAAAACGATGGGGCGTTATTGCAGCAGAAAGAGTTGCAAGCGCGACGTGAGCGAGAGGAGGCGCAGTGTCAGCAGTATAAGCAAGAGCTGCGAGAGCAGGCGGAGCGTCAGCGAGTGCTGCGGTTGCAGCGAGAACTAGAGCAGTTGAGGCAAAATCAGAGGGCGCAGCGTATTGCAGACGAAGTCCGCCGACAAGAGCAGGAACAGGAGCAGGAGCACTCCCGGCGGCAAGCACTGCAGGCACCGATACGGCAGCGCGAAGACAATAGCATTTGTCTGATCCTCTGATGATTGTATTTTTTTTTTCAGTAGTTTTTACCCAACCGTGCGCAACCATCATAAATTTTCCTTTTATAAATATTTTTCATTTTTTTTTTTCTTCTCCCATTAATGGTAAATCGCCGTAATCTTTGTTTACCTATACGTTTTTCGTATTTTCATGTACATAATAATTTCATACAAGTTGCCATAATTGCACGACGTTTGTTTGTATTATCAAATTATTAATAAATATACGTAAATTAATAAATTAAGTTGATAAATAACTTTCCTCGATTTTTATTTTACGCAGTCTCACACGAATGCGGCGAGTGAGACGGAACAGCATGCTCAGAACTCAGAAAAGAATCCGCACGAACTCGCCACATTCACTCATCAGGACGCGGCTCTGTGAGAGTACTTAACAATAATTATTCCAAAAAACAGAATTCAAATAAATGTATTAGGGCATTATTATTTGTTTAATGATAACACGGGTGAGGCGGTGAGCTTGCACAACCAGCTGTTACGATTTAAGATCGAT